AAAAAAAAAAAAAAAAGAAAAGAAAAAAGAAAAAAGAAAATCTGCCTTTCACTTTTACCCTTTTACTTCCTCACTTTTCTTGTCCAGAACAGTAACATGAAATAGAAAAATGACATCCTACTGGAATCTGGCTCCCACCACAACAATTAAGCAGCTCTTCTGAGCTCTCACCCAGCCAGCTGGGGCTGCACCGAACCAGCATAGCCTGGAGACACAGCCCGCAGCCCTAGTCTTAGTGTCCCTGGCACTAGGTGGGCCTTGGGCAGGAGGATGGAGGCTGCAGGCTGGGGAGACAGGCTCCACCCATGTGAGGTTCTTCCAGAGATCATCCAGCATCAGCCAGCTCTGAAGGCAGCACACAGCCTGTGCCCAGGGAGGTGGAGTTGTGCCAGGAGTCAGACGAAGACAACCTACTGAATGGAAACCCCACTTCTGCAGAGCTAGTGGGGTGGGTCCTTATGGCCAGGTTGACACGGTTACCTCCTCAGGGGTGTGCAGTGAGGGCAAGGCTGTCCCTACGGGAGAAGTCCGATGTCCACAGGCGGGGAGGGACAGCAGTCTTCGGGGCCATCATACCCAGAAGGCACGGGCATCTTGGGCCTCTCAGAGTGGATACTAGACTCCAGGTCCCTCCATCCCGAGGGGAGGATGCAAGGAGACCATGGTCACAGGGTACATGGGTGCCCCAGTACTCACCTCCATAAACTTCGGACGTGGAGGCCAGGAGCAGACGGGCGCCCACACGCTTCGCTAGCCCTGCAGGAAGCAGACACACGGTCAGAGACACTGTCAGCGCCGGCGCTCTGGCTGTGGCCAAGGTAAGCATTGCTCTAAGGTCAGAGGGGTCTGATTACCATCCCTTGCCCACTCCTTCAGGGATCACTCTGAACCAAAACAGAAGCAAAAGTGACAAGAAGAACAGGAATCGACCCTCAGAGGTTGCCACTCTGTGCACTCTTTAGAGTCCTGCACAGGTCAGAAGCAGAACCTGCTAGTTTGTGAGGTGTGACTTAAGATACTTCCTAGTCTCCCATCCCTAAACCCTGCCCTGTATTTTCCGACCTCTCTGACGGGCAGAAGGCACAGATGGCCCCTTCACACTCAAACCTCCAAAGGGGGCCCTATGCTTCCTCTTCTGTGCCAGGACCCCACACCCACCAGCTTGTCCTGGCAGCTAATAACAGCAGCTCTCAGCTGTGGGCTCTTCTCATCCTGGCCCTGGCCTCCCCTTAGCCTCTATCCCTGTCCTCCCCACTGCACCTCCACACTGTGCCAGCCTCTCTCGGAATTGTCCCTTCCTGCTCTGTGTCACTGATGCTGGTGTCTACATAGCATCCCTTGGATGCCAAATCCAGCAGAAGATCCAAGTGGGACCCTATCCAACCCCACCTCAGTGGACAGCAGAGTGCCTGGGCCAGGGGCTCATTGCCCAATGACACAAATAAGCGCCATGTACACTGGCTTTTAGAGGGAACGTGGGGCAGGGCTGGAACCCTGCAGTGGCAAGAATAGGGCACAACCTCTACCACACCACACCCAGAGAGAGGCAGGAGCACCTGCCCTGCTGGCCATGGCAGCAGAGGACCAACTCTTTCTGTATAAGAGGGGTGGATTGTCCAACTTCAGGTACAACTCCTCCTCATGATGGCTAATGCTGTGCCTGGGTGTCTCACAAACACTATTTCTGTAGGTGTCTGTGAGAGCATTTCCAGAAGAGATCAGCACTTGAATCTGGGAGATTGCATGAAGCAGAGGTCCTCCCCCAGCCAATCCCACGAAGCCTTAACAGAGAAAGAGCAGAGGAAGAAGGCAGCTTGGGACAAGCATCACCTGCCCTGGGCTGTCTGGATCTCAGGCCTCTCCTGGTCTCCAGCCTGAGATGGCAGACAGTGGGACCTCTCCATGTGCTGATACATCATCATAAACCCTCTCTCCACACCTAGTTAGAGCCACTGGTGCCTTTCCTCTCCAAAGCCTGACATAGGCCTCCAAACTGTCTGCCTTTCGGATCCTTGTCCCCATGCTTTGCCAAAGCTAATATTTAGGTCTGTCTTTTCCAAATCCATTTACAGAACCTGTTTCAAATGTTCCTATAATTAAATCCACTGACAGTTAAAGAAGCAGTTCCTTTCTTCCACTTCACAAATGATTAAGACATCTAAAGAACAAGCCACCCAACTAAGCATGCTTCTAATTTTACACATTTAACATGTGCGTAGCAACCAATGCTGTCACGTGAGGCTCACCCTTGGGGACACAAGGACAGCCACTGTACTGACCTCACTCTTCCATATTCCACTTTTAATGTGTATTCTAAGGACACCTAGGGCAGGAACTCGGCTCGCAAAACCTGCAGCTTCTCTGCCAGGCCTTCGTGGAGAATAGCTGGGTCACTTGTGTGCAAGGCCATGCCAACCCAATGCTCCAGCTGCAGCCCCGGGGCTCCACGCAGCATGGAGTATTTAGTCTTGGGCACAGGACAACTGCCTTTAAGGGACAGGAAGTCCCTTAAAGTGTGAGTGGGTGGCCACTCACAGGGGATGTACACTGAGGTGCTGTCTACAGTCCTAGGGATGCACACCTCCGAGACAAGGGAACTACAGTGCCTGTGCTTAGAATGCCTGGAGCTTTCCCAGCAGAAGCCTTGAAGGGAGAAGGACCACATACCCAGCATGTTCAGTGTCCCGATGGTGTTGGTCTTCAGTGTCTTGATGGGGTTGTACATATAGTTGGGAGGGGAGGCCGGAGATGCCAGGTGGTAGATCTGGTCAACTATGGGAGAGAAAGGTGCATATTTACCCCAGGGAAACCCTGAAAGGACTCCCAGAGTTACACTGTGAAAGAGGTCTTCATGGATCTTCCACTGGAATTCTAATTTTCCACTTGTTATCTCTCAGAGAAAGTCATTTATATTTGCGGTTGGAAGATCTTTACCCACTGCGAAGTCTGAATATCTGAAAAATGGTGCTGTACCCAGAGGGGCCCCAGCTTTCCAGGTATCTGTCCTAGGTGAAGCAGTCACAGCAAAAGAAAGACTTCAGAGGCAGAATTAAGCATATCTAGGTATATGTTTGCCTGTGAGGCAAACCTGACATTAGAAGCAAGACGTGAAGATACAGGAATAAGAGCTTCAATTTTGTTTCTACACATCCCACATAGGAAGACTGCCCGAGAGGACGGTTGAGAATGGTGGTGTCAAAGGCACAAATGGCACCCACCCCCCCAGATTCCACAGAAGCCCTGGAGTCCATGCACTCAGCTTAACACAGACACCCTCACCCTCTGCTGCCCAGCCCAGTGCTCCTCGCACACAGCATAGGCCACAGGCTCAGCCTCTCCCTGGGAAACAATGGTGATGGCAAATAGGTAAAGGACAGCCATCTTTCCGCATCAGCTCCAGGCAACAGGAAACATGCCTGGCACTGGGATCAGAAGGTGTGTGGTTCCAGGTGAGGGCCCTGCTGGAGCCCCTATTTTACCCTACCCATCTGTGCTCTACAATGGATACAGGGGTTGGCGTGTGGTTTGTCTCAGGGGGTCATGTGCTGGATGGTGGACTCTGCGGGGCAGTGCCAAGAGGTGGATGTTATGGGAGGTCACTCAGACCCTAGGGGCGCCACCTTCTGAAGGGGCAGACGCTGACTCTTGGGGAAACCCTGTGACTCTCCCCACCCCCACAAGTTATGCTGCTTCACACACAGCCAACAATGAAAAGTGAATGAAATTCTATTATGTGCACTGTAAGTGGACACAACAGCTTTACTCTGTTCTCACAGCCCTGTCATCCGGAGCCTGCTGTATCTTGCAGCTCACAGAACAGACCAGCAGGAGTCAGGGAGCTACAGGCTGGACCTGGCATGCTTCCAAGGGCGCAAGGATCAGTGGCCCAGCCTGTGGCTTCAAAAAGTGTGGCCTGGTAGAGGTAGTGAGGTCCCTGGGCACGTGCCCTCAAAGGGGCTAAAGGGACACCACCTCTCCCTGGCCCTTCTTTTCTAGGAGGTGAGCAGCTTCCTCACCCACATGCTCCTAATTACCATGACCCCAAAGCAACAGAGCCAACGAGCCAAGGACTGGGGCCTCCGGAACTGTGAGCCGCAGTGACCATTCTTCCCTGTCCAGCATTGCTGGACCTGGATAGTCAGCACATCTGCTGAGGCAGGAGTGGCACCAGCCGGCCCAAGCATGGCAAGCCTCTTCCTAACGTGTATCCCCATACCAGTGCTGCACACAGTGGGTTGGGCCAGAACAAGATTCAGTCCTTTCACACAGGCTCTGAGCTGAGAGGGACACAGCACACAGGAACATGGAGCCTAGCATCTCTGCTGTCCCTCACGGCTGCCTCGATCCTTGGGGACAGTGTATACCAAGGTGCGTGGGCTGTAAGATAACAGAACAAATCAGTCTGAACTCTGGCCCTGTGGGGATGAATTCTGCAGGGCTGCAGGTAGAAGCTGGCCCCAGAGACCTCCATGGGAGCATCTGGACAGAGCGGGGTGCTGTTCTGTGCCAGGAGAAACCATCACTGTATCCCACCCTCCTCATCCAAATGCAATAGAGGCCAATGGGAGCTTTCTGGACAGACACCGCCCCTCTTCCTGCTGGTCACCTATAGCCCTGGCTTGCCACGACACCTGGCCGTGTCTACCAAGTGACTGGCACACACCTCTCTTCCCACCACACACAGCATGCCCTCTTCTCCCTCTCTCACAGCCACAGCCTTGGCAGTGGGCAGGGCAGGCCACTCAACACAGGAGCACACAAATGCAGGGTTCTGAGCCCACAGGGACCAGGGTCTTTCCTCAGTAGCCTGGGAGCCCTCAGCCAAAAACACCTGTTTCCAGGCTCCCTGGAACGGTCCTCTGGGGTAACAAGTGGACACCCTCAAAGGCGACTCCATCCAGCTTGTTTACCCAGTATCAACAGTTCCCTGCTGTTCCTTGGCTGCTGAGGGACACCCATAAAATGGCCAGAACCTCTCTTGGGTCAGCACCCCACGGCCTCTGCAGCCCCTCCTCCCTGAGGAGTCAGGACACCTTCCCACCTGAAAAGGACACTGACATCTGGCGATTTAACCAGTCTGTACAGAATTACAATGTAGAGAGAAGTGAAATTTCAGCGCAGTGGTAAACAACCCAGACCAAGCTGGCACCTGAATACCTAAAGACATTAAGAATACCCAGCCCTAGAATGCATACAGCAGAGAAGTTCATCACCAGGGCAGCTGGGGAAGAGCCTCAGAATATGACCTGTGGCTCAGTGCACCCAGCATGGGCATGATGTTCAGAGTATGAGCTGGAGTAGACAGTAGCAATGGAAGGGGAAGATGTGCCTACTCATTTGCATGGCAGTGACACCCTGGAGGCCAACCTCCTGCCAAGTGACTTGGCTGTGACCCACACACTCAAGACAAGAGCAGTGCTCTCAGCCAGAAACACAGGAACCCAGGAAATTAGTCTCCAAGAGACCCAGTGCTGACTCCTGGGTCCTCTGAGGGTGTGGGGACAGGGTGGATGCAGAGGATGGCTGAGGTGGCAGGGACACCAAAAACAGGCTCCCCACTGATAGTCCATGGTGCCTAAAAACCACTCCAATGCTACACCTGCAGGAAAGAGAAAGCACCACAGGAAGCACACCCCCAAACCCCAGCTGAGGCCACTGAGAATCAGGTACTGCACCACCAGGGGGGACTACCACCTGGTCCTAAATCCTATGTCCGTGCCCACTGGCTTTATGATGACCCTGCCTTCTGGTGCCAGGGACCTGCGTCATGGTGCCCGGTGACAGCACAAGTAAGCACTGGTGAAGGCCTCGCACATCGACCCCAGAGCCCAGGTTGACTAACCACTGAGACACTGGGAATGCGTGTAATTACTCAGTACAGAGTAACATGGCATCCTAGTTTGGCCCAACCCTGTGTTCAAAGAAGGGTTTCAGAAGACTCGGAATTTCTCAAACTTCTCTCCCCACAAATAAGCAAAAAGGTGGGATTTGGCCTGGAGTGGTATAAAACAGCACCTCCTTCATGCAGAGGCCGCAGTGGCAGAGACCTGGAGTGAACTCTACCTGGGGTCATTCTGAGGGGCTCAACTGCTACCCTATGAGGACATTGCCAGAGCCCCCAGCTGTTCTGGGGAACCCCCGTTCTCCCTATTACACAGACAGGACTCCAAGATCTGCTGCTTCTGCAGGTCATACTTATTATATGCAACAGAAACTCAAAGTTGAGACAGAAATTAGTAAGTCATAATTCAACAAAAACCATTCTCATCAAAGCATCACACTCCAAACTACTCGAAGGTTAATCTGCTGCACAGGCAGACAGTTCCCCCAGGGCCCTTTCTGCAAAAAGAACACCCCTTCTTCCCCTTTCTGTGTCCTCTCCCATGGCCTCTCACAGGATCTAAGCATCTAGGCACCAGGCAGGTAGAAGAAGGGGTGCACAGCCTTAGCCCCACCAACGGTAAATCGAGGATGAGGAATGAGATTTGCTGACCACACAGGGTCCAGCAGTGCCCAGGATCCAGCCCCACCCACCTCATTTCTCCAGCTCCTCCACTGGGTACCACAAGCTCCCCAAGCATGGTCGGCACTGCTGCTGTTTCTATTCCCCATGGAAAGGCTGGCTTCGGTGTTGGAGCAGGTGAACTGGAAGTGTGGTGGGGAGTGCACTCTGATGCAGGACAAGGGTCTCACAGTGATGACAAAGTGCAAGCCTGGGCTTCAGAAGCGCAGCGAGCTGGGGCGTGTGTTAAGGTCTGCAGAGGGTCAGTTGTGGAGAACATTGCAGGAGGGCTTGAGAAGGATGTATAAACTGCTGCTGATGGGTAACACTGACCATGCAGGGAGAGAGTGAAGGACCCTAAGGGAGGGCAGGGAACAATAGAGCCCAGCATGGAGGCTGGAACCTACAAAAAGGCCCTCCACTGTGGGAGATGGCTTCTGGTCTCCCAACAGAAATGACAGAGGGAACTCAGTGCTATGAGCAGAGGCCACAGCTGTTGGTTACTTGTCATATGATTCCAACCTGCATGTGTACATGCACACGTGTATATGTGATATGTAGTGTGTGTCAGTGAGTGTGTCCATAGACAGAGGCCATCGAGATGGCCTAATATGGCTTTGGTGTTGAAGCTCAGAGTTAAAGGATGCAAATTCCTTATTAGCACAGCAGTTTCACTGAGTTCTGGGTCCTCGGAAATACTGATGCTCTATATACAACCACTACCTTCATATGGCACTACATGACCACAGAGGAGCAGATGCTGTGTGGGGGACAGCACGGTCAACTTCCTCCCACTCCTTGATGAAGCCAGAGGACTGCATGCCATCTGTTTGGGATCCCCAGGGCGACATCAGGGGTCAGCACAGTTCTGCCTCTCCTGGACTAGGTATCCCCAGGGCCAGCTCCTTTCTGCAGGGGATGACTTGAGATATCAACAAACTCAGCCCAACAAGGCTGCAGCCTGTGCCTAGTCTTCTTCCGCTGGATGTCGGCTGGGCGTCAGTCTGGGCTCACAGGTGTACACACAGCTCAGGGCCCTGTGCAGCTATGGCTGCCAAGTCCCCTCCTCTGTGCATCTCCCTGGTTTCTCTTTGCCTGTAGCCCCTGGAGCACCTCTTCCTCAGGATCTCTCTGCCTGTCTCTGCCACTTTATTCTGCTGGTTTTAAGGCCCATCACCCAGCCTCTCCACATGATCTCCACCTCACAACCCCCGTCTGCAGTCATAGTTGCATTGGCAAAGCCCCGCACAGCAATGTCTTCAAAATTTGCCTGCTTCAGCTTAACCCACAGTCATCAAGCAGGAAGTCCAGGCAGAAGGTGGGCCGACTGATCCAATACCTAGATAAATTATGTCACTCTTCAGAATCCAATACCTAGATAAATTATGTCACTCTTCAGAATCCAATACCTAGATAAATTATGTCACTCTTCAGAATCAATCCACAAATCAAACCGAAGTGGACTGCAAGTAGACTAAGTAACCAAATGTTTAAAAATTAGGCAAAAACATAAAATAAAACCCCCAAAACCAACCAACAAAAAACCCACCATGGCTGTTTAAAAAATATCAGATTACTTCAAATGCTCATCTAATCTTGGAATGGTTACAACATAAGAGAAGCAAAGAAATAGCAAAGGGGAAATGAACAGATGAAACTATATCAAATATAAAATCTCAATTAAATGAAAAGGCAGGAAGCCAGATAGGGTAAGTACGTTAAATCTACACCTAATGTTAATAGTCTTTCTGTGAAGAATTCAGAATAAAAGCAAATTTCAAAAATGGGTAGAAGAATTTAGATTTCTTAACATGAACTAATCATGTTAGAAGTCTTACTTTTCAGCAACCATAAGTGCATTGAACTACTAATTTTCTACCATCTTGCAAAAATATTTCTGTTAGTAGTTTTTTTTAAGACCATACTCAAGCTCCCAAGGTAAAGAAACACCCAAACTGTGCTGAGACAGAATGATGTCTGATAAGGCATATGTGAACTCTATTTACTGAGGAAAGCAGCTTTAAAGATGTCTATAACACTGAAGAACTCTCTGAGAGATTCACTAAGCCAAAGCACAGACACACAGGGGGGCATTTCTGAGGGACAGTGGGGGCTCCCCATGGTTTCCTGTGGACATGCAATGGTTCCTCCACCTGTGACGGTGGCAAAGGCAAGGTGCATCACTGTGCACAGGAATAGGGCCCCACATTAGACAGCCCAGGCTGAATCCAGGTTCAGGCTGACCTGAAGGCGAAGGTGTCAGCGCTGGAGGGCCCAGCAACCCTGAGAACCCAGAGGACAGGGTCTTCCAAAGCCAGCTGAGCCCGGATGATTTCTTGTGGCTATTTCAGCTACAGCATCACACAGATGATCACCTGTTCTCCAGGGCTCCGAGGAGGTGCTGCTGGGCCCTTGGCAGAGCCCTCTTGGCCTCTGCTGGCCATGCCTTGGCCCAGGGCTGCCCCTTCTTCCCTGGGTGCCTGTCTGTGTGTCTCAAGACACACAGCACTGAAGTGATAATGGCCCTGGAAACTGAGGTAAGACTTGTCTGGAGACTCCTAACAGTACAGAATGGCCCATTTCTATACAAAGGCAGAGTCACAGGCTCTGGAGTTAAGCCGTGGATAAATTATTTTGGGAACCACCATACAAACTACTGTAATACAGCCTCAAATTGTGATTCCCTAAGCTACAAAGTTACCTGGGTTGGGGATTTATCTCAGTGGTTCTGCTGCTTGCCTTGCAAGCATAAGGTCCCAAGTTTGATGCCCGGTACAAAAACAAAACAAAACAAAACAAAAAAACCCAAAGTTACCAGAGGGCTTTAGACACTTAAGAGGTGGGATTTTATTAGTAATCCAGCACTTGTGTCAGCTTTCCATTACTATGACAAAATACCAAAGATGATTAACTTAGCAAAAAGGAAGAATTACTTAGACCCAGTTTTAGAGGCTGTAGTCCAAAATGAGGTGGTACCCTGACTCTGGTCCTGCAGCAAGCTGAGCACACTGCAGAAGGAGTGTGTGGCAGAGTGAGACAGCTCACACCATAAGCCAGGACTCAGAGAAGGAGAGGATGAGCAGGTTCCATATCCCCTTCCAGGGCAGAGCCCAGTGACTCCAGGACTCCCCGGGCCTCTGCCTTTCCCACAAAACCGCCTGGCAGACAGAACCTTTAACACACAGGCCTGGGGAGAATATAAGACCCAAAACTCCAGGCAGCTGTGTGTGTTGCCAGACAAGGAGCCCGAACACCAGACCTGCCATGCAGGGTGCTGTCTCAGGCCAGCTGGCTGCTGCAAGGAAACACCACAAGTGGGTGGCTTGTAATTCACAGTCAGGTGTTTGTTTCTTGCCATCTGGAGGCCAAGTCCCAGCTCCATGTACCGTGTGTGGGGGACCATACAGTCCACTATGGGGCTTCTGTAGTGAGGCACTGAGCCCAGCCCTGAGGGCTTCTCCACATGCCCTAATCACCCCTAAAGGCCACCACCTCATCCCATCCCCCCAGGGACCTACCAGACGTGCACTACACAGACACTGCCTCCTCAGACCCTCTAAGTTCAACACCCAGGAAGCATGTGACAGTGAAGGCAGATGTTCACTCCACAACAACCATTCTTCACTACAGAAGCCAGAAATACCTCTCTCACAGTCAGACCATTTCGAATGCACAACACAACACGCACTCTACATGGCTGCCCAAGCACACCTGGGGGCTTACCTTCGATGTAGAGGGGCTCTACCACGTCATGGTTGATGAGCTCAAAGTTCTCATGGCCAATCCAGTGCTCCACATTCCGCTTCCTGCCTGTGAAGAAGTTGTCCACTACTGTCACCTCATGGCCATCCATCATGAGTTTGTCTGTGAGATGGGAGCCCACGAACCCTGCACCACCGGTGATCTGTGTGGAGACAGCATGTGCATTTCATGCTCAGAAAGTGTGTGTGAGAACAGGAGGTGACCAACATCCCAGAGATGCACCTCTGGCTTGGCCACAACTCACTCAGATTTGGAATCAGACTGGGAAGCAGAGGACAGGGGTTTAGGCAGCATCTTCACGCTCGTCCACAGCCAGTCAGTCACACATTCTGGGAAAAACTGAGCAGTCTACAAAAAAATTGCAGGCTACCACCCAGCAATTCATACAAAAGCATCAGAGCTAAGGTCCCACAGTGTCTTCATGGAGTGTCTCACATGGTTAAGATTTCTTATTTTTTAACAGATGAGATGCTGAACATTCCCTATCGGGGGGCTTCGCATCCACCACAATAATACAGTTAGGCTGGCAGTGTCTGCATCTGTACCAAATATTTCCAGACTATTTTTCCACTGTGTTTACTCTAGTCGATGCAGCTTAGTCACCATTACACAGTGCTGGCCTTGCTTAGCATGTGTAATCTAGAGATCAGTCAGAGCACACAGGAAGCTGTGAACAAGTTCTATGTACCCTCAACTTGAGCATCCTCTGATTCTGTTACCCACAGGAGCCCAGGATCTAGGCCCCAGGGACACCAAACAACAATGGTGTATGGTTCCGAACTACTTGCAAGCGCAAGGATCCGAGTTCGATCCCTGGTACAAAAAAAAAAAAAAGAATTACTTTATTAAAAAA